ATAGGGCCACGAAAAACTGTACTTGTAGGGGCAGGCGCATGCGAACGTCGCCACTGGGACCTTCGGTGGAAGCCCCTTCAGGGGCCACGAAGCGCTGTACTGGGTGGGGCGGACGCATGCGAACGACGACACTAGGGCCTTCAGTGAAATTCCGTCTGGGGCCACCACACGCTGTTCTGGGAAGGGCTAACGCATGCGACTTTCGCCACTAGGGGTTTCGGTGGACCTCCCTATGGGGGCACAGAGCGTTGTACTGGGCGGGGTGGACACATGCGAACGTCGTTTTGGGGGCCTTCAGTGGGATTCCCGATGGGACACTCGAAGCGCTGCGCTTGGACGGGCAAGCGCATGCAAACGTCGCCATTGGGGCTTTCGGTGGAGCTCTAAGGTGGAGCTCTGTATGGGGCCACGAAACGCTGTACTGGGCGGGGCGGATGCATGCGAACGTCGCCACTGGGGCCTTCGGTGGAACTCTTTATGGGGCCACGCAAACATTGCCACTGTGGCCGTCGGTGGAGCCCCCATGTGGGGCCACGAAACGCTGTACTGGGCGGGGAGGACGCATGCGAATGTCGCCAGTGTGGCCTTCGGTAGAGATCCCTATCGGCGCACGAAACGTGTGAAGGGTGTGCCGACAAAGATCGAGCGGGCGCATGCGAACGTCGCCGCTGGGGCACTCGGTTGAGCTCCCTGTGGGACCACGAGACACGCGAGGGGTGTGCCGAAATTCTGGACATGCAGATATCCGAGGCACGATGCTAACGATGATGATGAGGTTGGTGGCAGCCATTGAACCAGGCTGCGGGGTCGTCAGATGGACCCTGCACTGGCCCCAGCGGGGCCTTCCCCGACTGTCGCTGCCATGGGCCGTAGCGCTCGCCCAGAAGTGAGCTTGACTCGAACACGCGAGGACGACCGAACCGAACTTCTCTCGCCCCCTCCCCCCTCCTTCGAGGCCGCCCAAGTCGGGTCAAATCAGATTGGGTCGGAGAATCGCGCCGCATCGGCGGTAGATCAGCGACGTCGGCGTGGAGAGAAATCGTGCTCCACATCGAGCCGCCTCGCCGATGCATCGGCGATGCCGCGCGATGCCGCGGCCCCATCTACTCACAAGCGGCGAACCTAGCTACTCATGTCCTCATGTCCACGCCCTGGCAGTCTGGATTTCAGGGCCCAGGCCCCGTGGATAACTACGTGGTCGCGCGGGTACGCTCCGCGCGGGGCATCCGCGAAAACACCTACCGCATCCACTGGGTCGCCGCTCATGGTGCTGGGCCTGTTTTCCACCACCACCACCGTAAGTTGGAGGGGGGAGGGAGGAGGAGGAGGAGGAGGAGGAGGAGGAGGAGGACGAAGAAGACGAAGAGGAGGACGAAGAGGAGGACGAAGAGGAGGAGGAGGAGGAGGAGGACCCCCTCGCCCTCCAACTTATGGTGGTGGTGGTGGAAGACAGGCCCAAACACGTGGGCCGGGCCACGATCTCCTCCGACCCGCCTCCTCTCCGGCGGCCCCTGCTCTGCGCCCTCCTCTTCTCCGGCCGCGCCTCCCACCCGCCCTTCGCGGCCGGCGCGCCTGGCCCACGGGCCGGTCGGAGGACGTGGGCTGCCCCCGCTCGTGCAGGAAGATGCGGACGGAGATGACGTCCTCGCGGCCGCTGCGTGCTCCTCCGTGCTCCACCGATCCAAACAAGATCACGCGGGCCTCCAGAGATGTAGCCTCCTGCTCCCCTTTCTCCTCCGAGGAGGGCTGCGGCGCGGCGGCGAGCGGAGGAGGACAGCGTGCGAGCCGAGGGCGGCGACAAGCGGACATGTGCGACGAGGCGGCGGGCGACGCGCGGGCGGACGGAGGCTGACGCTGGCTGAAGTGCGCGGTTTCTCGCCGCTCTACAGGCGGCCCTGCCACATCTGCGCGGAGGCTCCGAGAGAGACGTTAGTCACACCGGCACGCGCGTCGTGCCGTGCGTCCCTGCCTCGTCGACTGGGCTTCCAGCCAGGGCATAAACTGTTACGATGCCTCCGAGCCCATGGTCCTGCCAACTGCGAGGCTCTCGCCAGGCTTGCCACAGGCAACACCTGCCTGTCGAGAGCCTGCTGATCACTCCTCAACGCCACGAGAGGGTCGCGGCCCGAAGCGCGCTTGATTTTTGGCGAGGACAGCGCGGCAGTCCTAAAGCACCAGACCAGCCCCACCGTAGCAGAACTTCCCCCCTCTTATGCTGATCCGTCATCTTCCTGCCCCGTCTTGCCTTCCTGCGCCTCCTGAACGCTGCGCAGACCCTGCGCCTAATCCCCTCCTTCCCTCATGAAAGATAACTCTTCCCTGTCGCACCGCCAGTCGTGTCGGTACGGCGACATAGGCGTTTCGCATCCCGAAGCTTTGAAATTTGCAACAGCTACACAGATGCAGGGGGAGCCCAGGGAAAATAAAGCTATGCCCTTGCGCGGCGCACATTCGACTTAAAGGCTTGCAGCGGTGACAAGGATGGTCGGGTCAAAATTGGGGTCTCGCCATTGCGCCGCTCACAGTCGTCTTAACACAGCAAAAGCTACAAGGATGACAGGGGATCGTTTTCAAAATTGAGCTCTCGTCTTACCACCACACATTCGTCCGAAAAGCTTGCACCAAGTACAAGGACGGAGTGTTCTTCTGATCAACACGGACCTGCCACCTTATCGCCACACACATTCGTCTTAAAAGATCGAAACAAGTATAAGGACGGAGGGAAGACGGTTCCTGTTCGAAATGAGATTATCCCCGTGAAAGCTTGTAGCAATTACAAGGACGACGGACGGTCCCTTTTCGAGATGCGGCTGTCGCCGAAGACTATCCTGCACCTACGAGCCAGAAGGTCGAACTCATGTAGCAACTCCACGGATGGATCGGGGTTCTCGACATACTGGGGATACGGCTTCAGACCTCCTCAAACTTAGAAGCCAGGAGTGGACAGCCGCGCTGTAGTTGCCCGGGTAAGGGGGTCCGTTTCAAAACGGGGCTCTCGCTGGACACATCGTGGAAGTATGGTCCTTGTGCTTCCCTCGAAGGACGCACCGCACATAGGGTGCTCGTGGATCAAGCGAGCACCTCTTGTCGTGAGACGGGAGAGCGCAAGGACTTGCGGAAGGAAGGGCTCGGGGCGGGAGAGCTCGTGGCAGCGTGTTTGATGCATCCTGCTTGGGTTTACTCTGGTCCACCTTCTCCTCCTCCTCCTCCTCCTCCTCTTCCTCCTCCACTTCCTCCTCCTCCTCCTCTTCCTCCTCCTCCTTTTCCTGGTCCTCCTCTCATATTCCTGTTCGTGCTCCTCTTCCTCCTCCTCCTCCTCCTCCTCCACCACTTCCTCCTCCTCCTCCTCCTCTTCCTCCTCCTCCTGTTCCCTCGGCCTCGCTCTCATATTCTGTTCGCCTCTGCTCTTCCCTCCTCCTCCTCCTCCTCCACCTCCTCCTCCTCTCCTCCTCTCCTCCTCCCTCCTCCTCCTCCTCCTCCTCTCCTCCCCCTCCCCCTCCCCCTCCCTCCACCTCCCCCTCCCAATCCTCCTCTCGCTCCTTCTCCCTCCTCCTGCTCCCCCTGCTCCTCCTGCTCCTCCCTGCTCCTCCGTCTCCTGCTCCTCCTCCTCCTCCTCCTGCTCCACCTCCTCCTCCCTCCTCCTCCTCCTCCTCATCATCATCATCATCATCATCATCATCCATCCATCATCATCATCAGCATCACATCAATCATCATCATCAGCATCATCATCATCATCATCATCACATCATCATCATCATCTCCATCCTCATCATCATCTCATCAACATCATCATCATCATCATCATCATCATCATCATCATCATCATCATCATCATCATCATCATCCCCCTCCTCCTCCTCCTCCTCCTCCTCCTCCTCCTCCTCCTGTTCCTGCTCCTGTTCCTGCTCCTGCTCCTGCCCCTGATCCTGCTCCTGCTCCTGCTCCTCCTCCTCCTCCTCCTCCTCATCCACCTCATCCTTTTCATGACCATCCTTCTCCTCCTCCTCATGTTTTTCCTCCTCCTCCGCCTCCTCCTCCTCTGCATACTAGTTATCAGTATTCGTACCAATCGTGTTCGTATTCGTGTTCTGTTTCGCCGGAATATTCTTCTTACAGTATTACTATTAGTAGTGGTAGGGCTACCAGTAGTGGTATCATGCGTGTGGGTAATATCATGTGTATTGGTTTATTCATAGTGTTAGCGCTACGACTCGTTGTTCCCCCACACTACGATGTATCATTAAGTAACATTAAAATGACTGACAGCAATAATAGAATGAGTGCTCGAAATATCATTATTACATAAATAGTATTTTAACAGTAATGCATATAGTAGCCGTATTCGTCGCAATCGTGATATTACGGTTAACATGAGTACTAGTAGCGTTCGTGTTCGCATTCGTCGTCATAGTAGTATGATTAGGATGTCATTCGTAGGAGTATCAATCGTCTTATTTGAGTTGTCAATTTGTGTCGTCGTCTGCGTCTTGTTCGTACGTGTGATCTTAGAACTGCAAATAATAGTAATGGTATTACCATGGGTAGCCGCGTTTGTTCATAGCATGCTTCTTCTTATTATTCGTATTAGCAGTCCTGTCATTATGACTACAAGACTGCATAGAATTGTGCTAAGCATTCGGATAATAAGTATGCGACGTCTCCTCCATCTGCTCCCCCTCCTCCTCCATCTGCTCCTCCTCCTCCTCCTCCTCCTCCTCCTCCTCCTCCTCCTCCTCTCCCTCCTCATCCTCCTCCTGCGCCTGCGCCTCCTTCTGCTCCTGCTCCTCTTCCTGCGCCTGCTCCTGCTCCTGCTCCTGCTCCTGCTCCTGCTCCTGCTCCTGCTCCTCCTCCTCCTCCTCCTCCTCATGATCCTCCTCCTCCTCCTCATCATCCTCATCATCATCAACATCAACATCAACATCATCATCATCATCATCATCATCATCATCATCATCATCATCATCATCATCATCATCATCATCATCATCATAATCATC